TACATCTCTTAAATTCAGAATGGTAGTATAGTGTGAAGTGTAACAGTCAATTTTATATGGTAGTAAATAGTTGCTTATTGTTCTGCTGGAAGAGTAAACTTGATAAAATGCTATGTTTGTTCAATGAAAATGACTATTCAACGCTGTCGAATTCTCCCTACAATATGTCACGGGAACTTACTCCAATCATTTTAATCGTAAACAATGCTGCTGCTTCTTGCATTGGGTTAAACGTATGCAAATTGGAACCTACTGTTTCATGAGTGATCAATTCTTTGTTGGGAGTGGAAAGAAATGTTGTATGTATTGCTAAGATACTGAGGGAAGCAGAGTCAGCGTCTGTGTTCTAAAGTATATGCAGCTGTTGAAGATGCTGCTTTGGAGAGAATGTTTTCCTGTTTCTCCACTTATTTAAAAATATAGCCTGCTCTAAAATCATAAGAAAAATCTCTAAATAGAAGAACATGTACCATTTCTAGTGAATGCCCCAAATATAAATAGAGCTGTGCATGCCACCTGTGGTAGCAGATGGCAGCCATTCACAGCTTCCTTTTGTGCTGGACCTGCATTATATGCAATATTTGCTTTTATGTTTTAATAAGAGATGTTTAAAAAAATCTAGAGTGGCAACAAAACACAGATATGTGCGTTAAAGAGGTAGTTTACAATGAAGATGAACTTCTTGAAGTGCAAACTGGAACCTGAAGTAACTTTTAAAAAGTTACATTACAGGCTTTAATGTGACTTTATAGAGCGTTTACTTGTGTGATGCTGACGCTTTTGTTGCCACCCAGTGGAAAACTGCTGCTGCTTCACTGTAGAGACTCAATTGTTTTATCATGATCAGAACTACACTTGGGAGTTTTTAAATAACACTTGGAGTCTCCAGCTTTGGTACCTGAGCTTAGGAGCTTATCATTTTAAGTTTCATAAGTTGCAACTAAATATACCTCCTTTCATGGCAGATGCATCTTTTAGGAAGTTCCCTACTGGTGCTGTAGTTCCCTACAGCTTCTCCTCTCCCTTGTGCCGATACAGGTATTTGTGGAGCTGAAATGAAAGAAACCGATTCTTTATATTTGGTCTTAAGCATTATTAACCCCCACTTCCAGAAGAGTAATTTAAAAAAAGTCATTTCAGTGTTTGGTGTGTGGTATTGCCCTCAAGGGAGTGCCAGTGGGAATGGGAAGAGAAGAGGGAGGGCCTGGAGTTTCGTAAGCAGTCTTCCTTGTCAGAAAGAACATAACCCTCCGTATTCTGGTAGCGAATAGAAGCTCGAGAACATGCTGTTAGTATAACGATATAACTGATGTTGGCAATATTGGGCAGAAGGGTATTTTTTTCCCCATGAATCTCATAAAAATGTCAGTTATATCTGGAAACCCCATAATATAAGTTTAGTCTTAAAGTAGTGCAAGAGTGCTGCAACTATGAAGGGGGCATTTCTCTAAGCCCTCCTATCCTATCAGGGAAAAAAATGAAATAATTTCATTATTTCAAGATTGAAGGAGAGGCTTATTTTTCTGCTCTGGGCTTTCAGAGAAGAAGGCGGCTAATTTCCAGAGGCAGAGAATGGGAACCATGACAAGAGGCCAATACTCAGATGTGTTTGTGCTTCGTCTTCAAATTGCTTTCATCTAGCCTTTTGACGGCTGTGTCAACTGGTGGTATAATTGTTTTGAAAACAGGCATATACAGCAAGTAGGAAGTTGCAGTTATGATGGATGGGTAAATGGAGTGGAAAAAATGGATATGCTGAAATGCAAGTGGGATTTAAAATTGTTCTATGTCTACTTGAAAGATTAATTAGAGAAGATACAAAAAATTAGCGCAGAGGCAGTAAAAAGCAGGGGGAGAGAGAGGCTGACTGGCCAAGAAAACTGTTGCAGAAAGGAAGACTTCATAGAGGTAAAGTCAGGTTTGACAAAATTCATGAGTTAACTAATGATATTAAACCCCCCCCAAAGTTAAAATATTCTTTAGCTATGTAAATAAAAAGAGAATTAGCAAAAAAGTGGATTTGTCATGCATCTGGAGTATAGATTAAGAATAGTTTAGGCATGGTCTCCAGACTAAATTAATAAGGAAAAAGCCATGGACCAGCAGGGTAAAAGCAGGATATGTACTGGGAACCAGAGCACATTACTGGAAATTTGTACAAAATCTCAGAACTTCAATGCAGTCAAATTGTGGTTTTTAGATAATCTCTGGGTTGAGTTCAGACACAGCGGATTTGAGAAATCCCAAGTTCTGAAGGCATCTATTTTTAATGAAAATACATTGAATTGAAGATGGTACCATTTGATCAGAGGGAAGCAAATTTAATGCCTATAATGAAGTCAGCAGAAGGAAACTGATAATGGCATCAGCACGGCCTGACCCAGAAGTGGTCCAGGATTCAGAAAAGACTTTAAGGGGAAAAAGATAAATAGAACGCAAGATACAATGCAGTATGATTTGCTGTCTTACTGAAAACAGGATGTGCCCAACCAACCTGATGCTTTAAGAAAATCTGTTTTTCCTTCATTAAGATGACCTGGTATTTGATGATAAAGTGTCTGATAAAGAGCTAATAGGAAGTCTAGAGGAGATTAGCAGAGAAAATATTACCTGAATAAGATGACTAACCAGAAGCAATGTTTCTGTGTTGAAAACTGTTGGGCTGAAGAGAGGTTAATAGTGGAATTACTTTTTGCATTCCCCAAAATAAGAACAGTACTAAACAAGATGAGTTTTAAAATCAATCCCAGAGTAAGATGCATCGGTAAAATTTACTGATGAGGGAATGCTGAGAGGAAGGAGGGGGAGGAGCATGACACGTTACAGCAAGTGCTGATTGACTCTGGGGTCTGGAGTTGTGGGGAGAAGAAAGAAATTCAGCAGTAGAATATGTATTTAGAGACCGAAACAAAGAATAAGCTTGAAACTAATCAATGAAAATGGTGGAAGAAAAGATATTTCCAGCTGAGTTACAAAGTAACTGACACCAGTGAATGCCTTTCTAGTCATCTGCATTGGAAAAGGATGGATACAAACTGGAGGAAATGCAAAGGAAAGTTATGGGTTAGGCAACTTCAGAACTATCTTGTAAGCAGAAACTAAAAGCTTGGGGTCGTTTGTCCAGGGCTACAGAAGTTAGAGGGAGATAGGATTATTGACAGTAAACTCAAACACACATGCAGGGAAGCAGAGCTTTTAAGGGAAAGGACTGTTTTGAAGCAAGAAATTGGTAATCCGTAAACCTGGAAATTTGAAGGTTCTTATTCATAATAAGAGCAATAGGTTTCTAATAAAGCCATTCAGTTGGAATAGGGAGATGTTTTATTACCTTTAGGCTGGAGCTTGATAACTTTGTAAAGAGTGTATGGTGTGCCTCTGATAACCCCAGAATAATTGCAGGTTGATGACAGTGGAGATATCTTCAAAATTTATATTTGTATAGTCAGGGATATTTTGTGTGTGCAGAAGATTAAGCATTGTACAAAAAAAAAGTATTTCTTTTTATAAAATTCACATTCCCTGTTATGCTAGTGAGATCTTCTTTTTTGTAAAAATTGTTTAATTTTGTTGATATGGTAATGACAAATTGAATTCAAAACTATGCCAGTAGTACACGGTAAAGAAAAGGCAAAAGAGAAATAGCAGCAGTGCAGGATTGCAGAAGATGCTGTTAGAATTTGAGGGAAAGTAGAACAAGAAGTCTCACTTCTGATGCAAATCTTGGGAACTAAGAGCTTGATGCGAGTATGGGCATAATGGTGTCATTCTAAATTCATGAAAATAGCTTTACAAATGAAGGAGAGGCAAAGTGGGGTCAGTGCAATTCAAACACATGATGACAATTTTAGCCTAAATAGAATGCTCTTTGTGACTAGATGAATTAATTACTGTAAGACAGTGTTCTTGCTTGTCATTCTGATTCTTTCTGCTTGTTAATCACTCCTAAATTGTAGCTATTGCAGTAATATTAAGATTTATTACTTACAAAGTTTTGTTAATCTCATTCCTAGTTTAGTGTTTGTTCACATATTAATGTAAATGTTTTGAAATGTGTTTCTTATTTTACATTTCTACTCTTTGTCCTCTGTAGTACTTTCTTTCTGCCTATTAAGTATTATTGTTCTACTGAAACACAGTATGGCTGTTCTAAATGTTTTGCTTTCATAGTCAAGCTTAATTTACCTATTCGGCAAATTTCATGACATACCAAGTCTGAGCTGAGAAGGAGATTAGTATACAAAAAATAAGTTCCAGTGGCAATGAGAAGGACCGTCTGTAGAATGGTTTAGCTTATTCTTTGTGCCTCGTTGATCTTGTAGTGATTTCAGTATTTCCCTTCTTATTGCTTATGACGGTGCTAACACACTTTAGGAAACTTTAGATCTATTGGAGATACTAACAGAACTCTGTTTGCTATGAATGGGATGAAATTCCCCATCCTGTTAATCACATGGAAAACTTTAAACATGAAAACTGGGAAAATTCTTACCCAATACGATGAGTTGTAGTAAAAATGAAACAGAGCAAATAATGATAGGGAAATGTATGCGTATTTATTTGCACAAGGAAACACTTATTTTTAGTTGTACAAATCACTGCAGTCTTACTAAGTACATTTTTTTCCTCTTACTTTTTTCAAAGAGCTGCGGATCTTTTGAAAAAAGTAATTGGGGGAATTAATCTTCTATTTATCCAAACTATTCTGTGTTCTTTCTCTGTGGTTTTTTTGTTTGTTTAATTACAAGGAACATTTGCATGAAAATAGGATTTTAAGACTTGAACGGCTTCTGATGCTTTTTCCCAGATACATGGAGTAAACCACATTTATTGTATTTGTAAACTAAAACAATTATAGTTTTGTAAAATTCCTTGCATGCATTTTTACACTGAATTATTAATGAAAGTTTGAGAATATGCTTTAGAAAGGTGCCCTCTGCCTCCCCCTTGAAAATATATACCGCTAACGTATATAATTCTCCCCTCTCCTCTTCCCCGCCATCATGTCTCCTTCAAGACCTGCCAAGGAAGTCATATTGGTAGTCATCTCATTTCTGTGGCCAATTAAACTCAATTTCTGTAGTTCCTTCATTCTCTAAGATAAGCAGCGTCTTATGCTACAACAAATCTTTTAAGTCAGACTAAAGTTTGCAAAAGTTCTTTCAGATTTTTAGGAGTTTTTTCATCTTTTCAAAGGACCTTTGTAAAGACTTTTAATAAAATCAAGTGGATTTATAGCAAAATGTATCCACAGTGAAGTGGAAATCCAGAAGTAGAAATTTGGTAGGGATGTATGCTCTGGCAAAACTTACTAATGATTATCAGATGATAGAGATACTGCTTTAGTTTAGGCACAAACTGGTCACTGTTATGGCAAAAACAGAAAGGAGAGGGACCTCTCCTTGCTCTACATGTTCTAATAACTGAACTTGAATATTTGTATCATGTCTCATCAGCAAAATGTTTAAAACTTTCTTGCATGATCTTCTAAAATGAAGTCATTGTCTAAAATGTACATTATCTAAACTGGCAATCCAGAACCTAATGTTTTGTGTTATTATGATCATGTTTAATATTGTAGTTATATTTAATATTTAGTGTTTAGTTTATGCTTTTTGGATAGAAGACGTGTTTTAACTACTTTTCTCTGAATTGTACCTTCTTACAACAGATCGTTTTTTAGATGATTTTTATGCATTGACTGCTTGCAAAATGTGAAAATACTACTACAAAAGAGTAAATTTTATGATTCTTTTTAGTTACAGAATAAATAATTTTACAAATTCATGTTTGAAGTGTGGAATACTGAACTTCAAACATAAAACTAATCCGTTATCTGACTGAAGTTTAATTACGATTTCTATTAATTTAGATTTCTCATATTGGAAAGCTGAAGGATTTTCTTCTGCAACACAGAAAAGATTACATTAATGCTTACAGGTAAGTGTGCGTTTATCTAAATAAATAGATTTATTTATTTTCAGATTTATAAAGTGAACTGCTTAAAAATCTATAGGCATAACAACTAAAAACAAAACGTAGATTGCTTATTAATTGGCTTACAGTAAGCTACTTAAGATGAAGAATAGTGCTGTCACAAGAATAAAATGATCCTAAATAAAATGAGACTCAGAATTTCAAGATGATTTCTGGCTCTTAGGAATGAGTTCTGAAACAAAACAAAACCTGGCAGTCCCAAGTCCAACACCTTTTAAGGACCTGCAGAGTAGGTTTCTGAAGGGTTCCTCAGACAGCAGAATACTGGATTCAATGATCCAGGTTTTCCCTTTCACTCTGTGACACTAAACCTACCTGTTATCATGAAGTATACAGTCAGTAGCATCAGCAGGTCCAGGAGGAGAATGATGCCAACTCTTCAGACTTCAGACTCAAATGTGAATTCCAGATGAAGGGCACCACTGAGAACACAGTGTCAGGGGACAGCAGCACAGGATTTGCTTTTCTGTGACAAAAACTGTACGCTTCAGTTATGGTAGTTATTATTGTGTGGAGAAAGTTTTAATATATCCAAATGAAACAGTGTAGGTAAGCTTTCCCTTTTATAGGATCTTCTGAAACTTCACAATTTCCTGTGTTGTATTTCTCCAGTCCCTCAACATAACTGCAGTATTGCATGGGGTGAGTCAGCCCTGTCTGCATTCCGATTCTGCCACAACCCTGACTAAAGCTAAGCTGTTGCTGCATTCAAGGTAGAGAAAATGCAGTCTAAAGTCATCTTGGGTTGAAGACACTGAGTCCCAAGTCAATTTAATACCTTTCTCCAAAAGGCTTCACAGGTACCCGATAGGAGCGTTATTCTGACAGGTATCCATCCCCCAGGAGAAGACAATAGGAACAGATGAGCCATCTGCTATTCCTTAGGCTCGGTCCATACTGGAGAAACAGGCTTTCCGAGAAACAACTTCTAGGCCTGAAAGGGTCTGTTACAGTAATAGCAGTACTATACAATCAGTGGTATCAAAATGTGTCCCTAAGTAAGGTGCCAGAAGACTTCAGGCACCTTTTTTTGTCTCCCTGAGATTTTAAAAGCAGTATTTTGTTGTTTCAAAAATGAAACAAAAAAAATGAAGATTTTGGCATGTTTCATAAGTGTAAGGCCATGAGAGCTATTCATAGTCAGTGCTGGTGAAAATGAATCTCGGGGGTGTGGGTGTCAATTCTGTGAGCAAGGCGTATGAGGAACTGCTTTTCCAAGCAGCAAGCAGAAGTAGCGTACAGCTCCATGTTATGACTAGCTCTCTGCTTTTCAATTCCTGTTGGAATAGGTCATGACCATCACTAGGTGGAGCTACCAATTTAATACTGAAATAACTATTTTTACTGTGTGAAAACTTCATGTGAATGCATAAGCTGAGAAACTGCAAATAATTGCAGTAGGAGCAAACAAGTCAGTAGCAGTTACATTTTGGGTACTATCTGTATTTTATTAACAGTAGTGTGCATAAAATTTGAAGTGATAAGAGGAGTAAAAATTTGTCCAAGCTATTTTGGTTTCTAAAAGTTTTTTTTTAATATTCTTCTTGTAAACTCTCTTTTACCCAGTTATCATGGTGATTTTCACCCCCATGCACCTCAGGTATTAACTAAGGAGAGGAAAAAAGAAGTGTCATTTCCTCCAAATCTCATCTGTGATTGCAGTAGATCCTGTCCTTAATGGTCAAAAAAATAGATAGTACTGTCAAATTCCATACTACATTGCTTATGCTGTTCTACTTTGTGGATGCAAAGATGATCATAGAATCCATGCTGTCATAGAATCTTACAATCTTAGCAAATGCCTCACTCATTCAAGACAGCAGTTTTAATAACTTTTCAATACTTAAGCTATGGGGAAAAATTTTAAACAATTTAATGCTAAAAGGCTGTGCTGGAATTTATGTAAGAGATTTAATTTTGTTAATGAAATTTGACTGCTCTGTATTTTGTCAATCCTGCTACTTGTTTTTCAGCTATAGCATGATGTGTTGGTGAAATTTGGCTTTTGAGTTACCAAGTTGAATTATGGTATGCCTTGTAAAACTTCTTCATAATGTGTTACATCCAGGTCCCTGATTGCTTCTTTGACCTTACTTTTGCAGACTATAAATTCTTTATTAATAGAGTCTTTATTTTTGGCGTACATAAAATGTCCTGCTACGGAGAAGATTTTTAGCAATGTGGAAGACAACTGGAAGAAGGGTTAATTGAAACTAAGTCCCTGACCCATTTTATCAAACTTTAAATATTTAACTGAAATACCTAAATTGAGTCCAAAAAGCTCAGGAATTAGTAATTGCTTATTCACCTTCTTTCTTCTTGATTTGACTGTTCGCTATAAAAGATGTGAATGGCAAAACACATGAAACTAGTGACACAGTGATCTAAGCTTACTGACTTACAAGCAATTGCCCCTTTATCCTCTCCTATTTATCAGGATTCATTTACTTTCTCTTACACCTTGGTTTTCAGCTTTCTGTGATAAGGAACTTTTCTGGTTTTGTCTTCTTGCCTGTTTTACCCTGTCTACCGTGATTCTCTCCTCTGGATAGAACTTCTGAGAGCTCTAGCAGTACCAGAGATGTGGTATCGTCTTCTTCTGACAGCATGAGTTACAATGGAAAGAAACTTGAAACTGGCCTGTTAGAAAACTCTGATTTACAGAGGGGCACATGTAGAAGCTTCTTCAAACTTCTCTCCAAATGCATGGTTATTTCTTGTTATTGTTTGGCTTAAAAATTCGGAGTTGTATTAGTCTTAAAATCTATGGCAAGAATAGTGAAAACTTGGGCTTTCTCTGCGACACACATTTTAAGGAAAAATAATAAATAATGAAAATACTGAATGAGTAGCAAAGACTATGAGTGACTCATGTTATTCTTCCTAATAGCTACTAAGGGAAGGACAAATAACTATATGTACCATTGCTTTTATTTAACATTAGAGCCTTGTCTTAAAAATAACTTAATTTTAATTATTTTCTTGTTAGCTTCAGATACACATTTCAAACCTAACAAAGCCCTTTGGGTATCGTACTCATGGTCAGTGAACACATTCAATGGCAGAGTATTTTATAAGAAATGTGTAGCTAAATCATGAGACATTGCATCATCACTGTTCCTGCTAATAGTAGCTGTCTCTGAGCTGTCGCTTGTGATGTTGTTAACTGCAGTCTCTCTCCAAGAATCTTTGGAAAGAAGTGAAACTCAACAAGCAAGAAATGCTTTAGGACATCTCAGAGTATTTGAAAATTAATTAGTTTCCATTGGAAAATGCTCTGACAATACTTAAAAACAGCAGTGGTGAACAGTAGTTGGCTATTTGTTCATATCTGGTTTATGGTTTATCTCAAGGACTTCTTCACCAGCTTTTTCAAGTAGGCTTATTAAGCTTCAGAGTGGTGTTTAGAAAGCACACATGGGGTGTAGTCCTTGAGGCAATGTATAAGAAAATAACCAAGGACTTTTCCTTAAAACAGAACTGATTAACTTTTTTTTAAGTTTATTTGATAATCACAAAAGTAATTTTCAATTGATGAGTAAATATGGTAAACACCAGACATGCATATATTAGAAAATTATCCCTGCTAAATTGTGATTTTAAGGACTTCCCAGCAACATTGCATTTGGCTAATGCATAGGTTTAGTGAGTTAGTGGTGAACAGTACTTTTTTTAAAAAAAAAAAAGCCCCTTCCTGACTCTATAAAGTCCAAGTATCAGATTCTTATTCTTCTCTCGTGAGTGATAATGCTGATGAGACTTCATTGACTTTAGTGGAATAATTTCTCATTTATGTTGCCGTAACAGAAAAATGAATAGTACCTTTCCTTTTTTCAGTTCCGTAGAGAATTAGCTGTAAGGGTAGGTGGCTATTTCTTTCATCTCTCTTTGGTCATAAACTGTTTCCATCAGAACAAGTTGATCACTGTTCCTGGAAAGGAGAAGGCAGGGACTCTTGGTTCCTGAAGATGTTAACAAGATGTGGGTGCTTTTTTATTTTTGCTTATTAAGCAAACTGTGATCATTCCTTTCAGATGAGGATTGTTACTTACCTTCCCATTTTTAGTGTATGACTGGTATACATTCTATATATTCTTCCTCTCAGTCCATTTGCTATAATGCATTCCTACATTGCTTTCTACACTGTGCCGTGTCAGATCCTATCTTCAGTCTTTGGTAAATTGTCTAATGTTTTGTCTGTGAACAACTTGTGCCTTTGCTTTTCGTCATCAGCTCCTTCATGTTTTTGATCATTGAACCACCAAGGTAGTTTGTATGGTTGAGTTATAGTTCGAGGAACTAGCTGTAGTGCCCCAACACTTGGGAATTTGAAATGGTCCTCTTGGGATTCCTCCGCAGCCTCCAGTTTCTCTGAAGGATCTTTCAAGGTTTAGACAGTTTAAAGACCAGTAGTTATTCCTACTGTTTTAATCAGACATTGGAAAGGAATTGAGACAATTCTAGATTTTGACCACAAAACACCTCATACCTAAAAGGAAAATCTGTGAGAGAAGAGCTTTCCATCTGGGATTATTAGACATCTAATTTATTGTCTTTTGCAACTGCAGAGATACTTATGTAGTTCATCAGTGTAGCGTAGATTGGTTCTGAGTAGAAATGATTTTTCCCATGGGAAAGGCTGGATGGGTGGCTTCTGATGTGTCTTCATTAAATGCTTCTGTGGTCCTTTTGTACAGTTAAGTGTTTGAACATTTCATATGTTGTTAATTGCAAATAATATACTTCGAAAAAATTCTTAACAAATTATCTTTCTGTCTTAAAAATAATGTTGGTGCCCAGTAATTATGCCTCTTGCCCTAGCATTTATCTACCTAGTAAAGCTGAAAAAAAAAAAAAGCAGCAATAAATCAGTTACATGTTTGCCACCTAATAGAAAATCATCGAATGCTTACCCTATGTTTTGTGGAGAGCATTCCCTTGGC